AGTGATCATGGTCATCTGACTGAAGATGATGATCTCAGTGAGTCACTTACCTGGTTTTGCAGTTCAGTCCATCACCCTTGAAGGGGGTGCGATCCAGCAGATGGGCTGATAGCTGACGTCCCCAGTGCTGCAGCTCCTGGGGATTAGCAGGATGCCGATCCTGGTCAGGGATACAGATCAGGCAGGAACAGACAAAACAGAATCCAGATCAGGCAGGAACAATGGGTTCAAGGATTTCATCCCAATACCTAATGACAGTCAGGGTGCCGCGGTCTAGCCTGTATAGGTCTGTGCGTCCCTCCATGGATATGCCTCCCCAGACCATCAGTGACCCACCACCAAACCGGTCATGTTGAATGATTTTACAGTCAACATAATGTTCTCCACAGCTTCTCCAGACCCTTTAATGTCTGTCACATGAGCTCAGGGTGAACTTGCTCTCATCTGTGAAAAGCACAGGGCGCCAGTGGCGACTTGCCAATTCTGGTGTTCTGTGGCAAATGCCAATTGAGCTCCACTGTGCCGGGCAATGAGCACAGGGCCCGCTAGAGGACGTCGGGCCCTCAGGCCACCCTCGTGAAGTCTGTTTCTGATTGTTTGGTCAGAGACATTCAGACCAGTGGCCTGCTGGAGGTCATTTTGTAGGGCTCTGGCAGTGCTCCTCCTACTCCTCCTTGCACAAAGGAGCAGATACCGGTCCTGCTGATGGGTTGTAGACCTTCTACGGCCCTGTCCAGCTCTGCTGGCGTAACTGCCTGTCTCCTGGAATCTCCTCCATGCTCTTGAGATTGTGCTGGGAGACACAGCAAACCTTCTGGCAATGGCACGTATTGATATGCCATCCTGGAGGAATATGACTGCCTGTGCAACCTCTGTAGGGTCCAGGTAGCGCCTCATGCTAACAGTGGTGACAGTGACCCTAGCGAAATGCAAAACTGGTGAAAAAGAGTCAGAAAAGATGAGGAGTGGAAAAAATGTCAGTGGCCTCAACCTGTAAAACCATTCAAATCAATATCCCAGATGTTTAATTAACTTGATGCTATACTCTGATTACAAAGTGTTCCTTTAATTTTTTTGAGTAGTGTCTATATACTCAAAAATATCCCAAAAATCTTAAATGGAAATCTTCAGTTGTTTTCTAGGTTGGACCCATCTAACATGACACCATATCCGCCGGACAGCTCTGAACCTTTTAACCCGAAGTATATTCCGTGTAAATAGGCCACAGGCTTATATGTGCATTGACGCTGCACTACTGAGGTGTCAGTCTGATCATTAAACGATATATTAGTTGAATAGGGTCAAATAGTACAGGCTATTTTCAAGATATTTACGTTATATTTTAGTTATGACTCTCTTTAAGTCACCTTCCCTATCTCTAAGATAAGCATGGACTCTCACTGTGTCTCCTAAACCTTTCTTATGAAGGTAAGATGGTTACATGATAACATGCTGATCCTTCTCTTTCCACTTTAAAGGGCGCAAGGCGATTATGCTTCAGAAGGCATCAGTGAAACTCATTAATGATGAAGTATGTAATAAGTTCATGGGGGGCCGGGTTACATCCAGGATGTTCTGCAGTGGATTCCTTGAAGGAGGAGTCGACGCATGCCAGGTGGGACTGTATAACATCAGAAAAGAAGGAAAGGGGGGAGATTTTGACACCTTTGTGTTTGCTGTGCCCTCACACCCAAACCCAATCTAATTATCTATTACTTGTTCACATATGACACTCTGCAGGGAGACTCTGGAGGCCCCCTGGCATGCCTTGAGGAAAGCGGGAAGTGGTTTCAGGCTGGCATTGTTAGCTGGGGTGAGGGCTGCGCTCAACGGGACAAGCCTGGAATCTACTCCCGTGTTATCAAGTTCAGAGAATGGATCAAGGAGAAAACAAACATTTAAAGATCAGGATGATGTGAGGAGCAGCAGTAAGAATAATAGAGTCCTAAAAATGCTGAACACATAACATTTTAGTATGATTTTATTATGATTCAGGTCAACTCTCTTTGAGTTTAATCTCTTTAACAGTCAGGGTAGCGTACTGTTTATTGGGGCCCAACTGTTGATATAAATGCTTAAATTATTTCCTTGCCGATCTCCCACAGGAACTCCAAAGAACCCTCATTTTAAACAATTTTCAAAGGTACCTCTTTCCTTCGTGTTGTTCTTCCATATATTCAAGCAATATGTCACTGTTCGATACTGTCTACAGTAAAATGTAAATGATAAATGGCCTGTACTTATATAGTGCTTTTACAAGTGAGGAGACTTAACCTAAGTACTTTACACTACATTCAGTCATTCACACACACACTCAAAAACTAATGCTGGCAAACTACATTGTAGCCACAGCTGTCCTTGGGCTCACTGGCAGAAGCGAGGCTACCGTTCATTGACCATCCAAAGTAGGCAATGCGGGAGAAGTTTCTTGCCAAGGACACTGAAAGCTGGTGCCGCATCTAGTGCATCTGACACCTCCATCGCCCCAGTAAGATGGAGGTGTCTCTGAATCCAAATGGTTGTTTTGTTTTACCTTTTCAAACATCTGTCTTGGCCTTATCAACATTGAGGTTTTTTTTTTTTTCTATGTGCATCCTATAAAAAAATATTTTATTTGCAAGATAGTTTTGTTTCACTTATTCAAACTCATTTCAGTAGCTTTTCTGATAGCAAATTAATCTTCCATAATACTGTCACTGCCTTAAAATTTAAATATTATTAAAGATACAGACCTAAGCGGAAATACTAAAACTGACATTATCAGTTGGGAAAAATGAACCATCATTCTTATGATTGCTGTTTATGTTATAAGAATGTATAAATACCAAGAGCTGGGTGGAATGGAAGCAATATTTTTGCATTAATCAGTAATGTTAATTAGGAATGTTTGATTAGGAGAATGCTCCACCCTTTAAATATGACATATGGTTTTTTGCTGGGCCAAACTAGGTAAAAACTGCAGCTTGTTATTTCCCATCAATCTTTTTGTTATTGTTTTTATACCTGCTTGTTTACTGACTTTTGCCTTAACTTGTAAAAATTTAGATACAATTTGATATGTGGAGGTGGAACAGTAGATCCAACTAGCACAGGTCTCCGATTAAAGCTTGGGATAATAGGAGACTTTTGAAGCAGAAGGTCAAGAGTTAAACCAAAGATAATGATATTTCTAATAACAACCGATCTGACAGGATAGTTGATCTTATGTCTGACATGTTTTGAAAAATTGGTAAAACGTAAGTGTAAATGTTTATTCTTTTAAAGTATTATGGAAGACTAGACTTGAGCTGGTTTGTAAATGTTTGTGCAATATCTTAGCATAGAAAAAAGCTAATATTTTACCTTTTATTTTTTTAAATCATTAAAGCATGAGTTGTCTCTTAAATAATCGAACATACTAATTGTTATACTTAAGTAGCATAAATCCAGCTTTACTTTAACCTCTATACCTTAATTATGATTAACAGGTTATCCCATAAGGGAGATGTGGTTATTTTTCATATTTCCATTCTAAATGGTGTGACCATTTGTTTGCTTTTGGTTTTTTTATAAGATTATTATGTAAATAAACTTTTATCTGACTGTGAAATGTCTTAATACTGTGTGTCACCTGCTTTACCTGTATTTGTTACATTCTTTTTTTGCATAATAAATGCGTTTGTTGAAAAAAACTCATCCCTTCTTGACAGTGAAATTGTAAGAACAATTTACTTCTCCTCCCTGTTGTGAGCAACATAGTTAACTTGAAAACAGGGGTGTCAAGACAAGCTCCTACTGCCAAATAATACCTTATTTGGTCAAAGCCATACCAATCAAGTTTTGTATATGAAAATAAAGGAAATTTTACAAATTAACCTGCGAACCGTCCTACAACCCCACTCAACCTCGAGTATCCATTATATTTTAAGATAGGTGCACCAGAAATCTAAAATGATAATTTGTTAACCAATTGCAAACTACAAATAGGTGATCAGATTATGACTCTAGCAACAGTTCCGTTTAAGGACGCAAGTTAATGTTTTTTTGTATCATTTTGTAATACAATAATATGGATGACCGCTAATACGACAGGATGGCAGGAAACTGGGGTATAATACTGTTTCCTGGCAAAATATATATATCCCTGTACCTTGGCATCTGCCGTCACGCTGTGTTGTTTCAGAGTTGTGCCGTCAACATAAATACATTACCAAGGTATCCTCAAAACTGTCACCCCTAAAAGGATTTTGATACTTGAAATGATACAAAAGAACTCTGCTGTCAAGTACTTCCCACAGATTTTAACCATTCTCCTGGCCCTGTTCCTCCTGTGGTTAGCCTGATGAAGATCATCATGATAAAGGAAAGGTATAGATAACTAAATAATGCAGCAGTTTATCTATGGCAATGGCTATCCCTCTGTGTCCCTTTCTCACTTTGCTCACTCAGTCACATACACTATCATTTTGAGAAACACACTTTTCACTTTAACACAAGACACAATTCTGTCATTCAATCCCTCAGCTAAATTTTTTAACTATTTATTTTCTCTAAACTAAACTAATCTTACCTTTAATCCAGTAACTGCTTGTGCTGCGTGAATGATTATTTGTTTTAAATAAATCAGTGGATGCCTTGGTGTCCTGTAAAATATCCTACTCTGTGTTACAGCTTAATCTTACAGCTGCTATAGGCAGCTGCTGCATATGTAGGCAGCTGCTGCCAAGATTGCCAAATGTTTGTTGGGGGCGTCTCTCAAGGTTACCCGGTTCTGGCTTGGTGAATAGTGGCATCTGGTGGAAATTACTGGAATATGCACAGCAAAAAACCTTCAGCTGTTGCTGATCAAACATCTGTCTGTCTGT